CGCCTTAGAACTTCCTCAATTAAGAATCAAAGGAGGGTAATTGTAGTAGGTGACTCCCTCTTGAGGGGAACAGAGGGCCCCATCTGTCCACCAGACCCAACCCACAGGGAAGTCTGCTGCCTCCCTGGGGCTTGGGTCAGGGATGTGAAGAGGGAGCTGCCTGGTCTAGTGCTGCCCTCTGATTACTACCCTTTGTTAGTTGTCCAGGTTGGTAGTGATGAAGTAGTAGAGAGACATCCAAAGGTGATAAAGAAGGACTTTAAGGCATTGGGGTGACTAGTATGTGGATCAGGTGTGCAGGTGGTGTTTTTATCAATCCCACTAGTGGAAGGGAAACACAGTGAAAGTGGGTGGAAAATACACCTGATCAATGTGTGGCTCAGAGATTGGTGCCACCATTGGAAACCTGGATTCTTTGATCATGGGGATGTTTACATGGCACCAGGTATGCTGGCGACAGATGGAATACATCTGTCCCAAAGGAGGAAAAGAATCCTAGCAAAGGACTTGGTGGGGCTCGTTGAGTAGGCTTTAAACATAGCCTTGAAGGGGGAAGGGGATAAAACCAGGCTCACTTGAAATGAGCATAGGGACAGCCTTCAGTCTGCCGTCCCACTTGAGGTGGATAATGGTGTCAGATGTGACAAACCTAGGGCTGCTAGGGATAAGACTCGGGGTGACGTACTGACGTCTGTATTGCAGCTCAAGTGCATATATGCCAATGCCTGGAGCAGAGAAAATAAACAGGAGGAATTAGAAGCTCTTTTACACCTGGAAAACCATGATATAATTGCCATCACAGAAACGTGGTGGGGTGATTCGCATAGTTGGAGTGCCACAACGAATGGCTACAAGCTCTTTAGAAGAGATAGGCAAGGAAAGAGAGGTGGTGGGCTAGCACTATATGTTAAGGAGTGCTTCGACTGCCTAGAATTCAATGTTAGGCACACCAAGGTGGAGTGTTTATGGATATGGATAAAGGGGAAGGCCAAAGAAGCTGATATCCTAGTGGGAGTCTCCCTGGACTATTCAGAATGCTGGTTCGAAGAGTCTCTTGGGAATCAGCTCTTAAAAACAAAGGAGCCCAGGAAGGGTGAGCTGACTTTAAGAATGAAATTATGAAGGCACAGGAGCTAGCCATCCCTATGCGCCATAAAATGAGCCATCGGGGAAGAAGACTGATGTAGTTGAGCAGGGAGCTTCTGTAAGAACTCAGGGGGAAAGAAAAAAAGAGTTTATCAACTCTGGAAAAAGGGGCAGGTGAATCAGGAAGTGTTTAAAGATATTGTAAGGTCATGCAGAAAGAGAATTAGAGAAGCAAAGCTCAGTTAGAACTTACTTAATTTAGCCGTCTCTGTAAAGGATAACAAAAAGTGCTTTTATAAATGCATTAATAACAAAAGGAGAGTCAGGGGAAATCTCCATTCCTTATTTGATGGGGGGGGAACATGGTAACAGAAGATAAGGAAAAGGATGAGGTACTTAATATGTTCTTTGTCTCAGTCTTTAACAAGAAGACTGGCTGTCCTCAGGACAGCTGGGCTCCTGCATTGGTAGACAGGGATGGGAAAAAGAATAGCCCTCCTGTAATCCAGGAGGAAGTAGTCAGTGCCCTGCTGTGCCAGCTAGGTTCCAGCAAGTCCATGGGTCCGGATGGGATTCATCCCAGAGTGCTGAGAGAGCTGGTGGAAGAACTGGCTAAGCTGCTCCCTGTCATTTATCATCAATCCTGGCTAACTGGGGAGGTCCCAGATGACTGGAGTTTGGCCAACGGGACCCCCATCCATAGGAAGGGCCAGAAGGAGGATCCAGGAAACTACAGGCCTGTCAGCCTGACCTCGGTGTCTAGCAAAGTTATGGAGCAGATCATCCTGAATGTCATCCAGTGGCACGTAGAAGACAACTTGGGGATCAGGCCCAGCCAACATGGGTTTAGGAAAGGAAGACGTCCTGCCTGACCAATCTCATCTCCTATGACTGGGTGACCCGTCTAGGGGATGAGGGGAAGGCTGTGGATGTGGTCTACCTCGATTTCAGCAAAGCCTTGGACACAGTCTCCCACAGCATCCTCCTGGGAAAGCTGGCAGCCCACAGCTTGGACGGATGCACCCTTCGCTGGGTAAAATACTGGTTGGATGACTGGGCCCAGAGAGTGGTGGTGAATGGGGCTGGGGGGGTTTAAGGCAAGCCTGGGCGTGGCACGTGGTGCCATGGTCTAGCTGTTGTGATGGTGTTGAGTCATAGGCTGGACTTGATGATCTCAGAGGTCTTTTCCAGCCTCAACAATTCTGTGATTCACATGTGCCTGACACCACCCACAACCTTAGATGGCTTGGCTGGAGAAAACAGCTGTAAAGCTAGAGGGAAGGCAAGGAACACAGGGACATCAAAACAGCCTAAGAAAGGGTATGAACAAGGGCCAAGGTCTTTAAAATATTTGTCAGAAAAGGTGAAGTTGGAGCTTGGATCGCCCTGTATGCTGAGGATACTGGAAAGTTTTTGGAGTAGCTCCCTGTCTGAACTCCTCAGGGGGGTCTGAGGCTTTAGGGAGCCGAGGCGGGAGCAGAGATGCAAATAAAAATCTGGAGCCTCTGGTCTGGAATACCTGCTTTGGCTTTTGGAAGGGGAGAGTGAAGGTGTGACTCTGAGACAAACTCTCTCTGTGGACAGCACTGCCTTTGCGTGCCTGGGGTGCATTCTGCAGGGACAGCAGCACCATTGCTGGAGCAGAAGTGAGCCTGGGCCTGTGCTGTGCTTAATCTTTGTCTACCTGGTGGTGTTGCTGGGGAGTCTTAGAGATAAATTACAAAAATGCATTGCTCTTGCTGAGAGGGGAAAGAGATGGTGAATGCTGCTGCTTCGATGTGTAACGAATTGTAGAGAAACAGCACAGGTCTCTGCCACTCCAGATAACAGCAGGACTGTTAAAAACAGCTCTTAACTAAGTGAAGCCAGTCGTCCTCCTGTACTCTGTGACATTCTCTGGTTATCTGTTTACTGTTGGCCTGTGCTTCCCCACCCTGAAATCCCTTGCGTTTACTGGCTAAGAGCTCACACAAGTGTCAGTTGCAGGATCAATGGAGCTGCCACACTGAGCAAGTGGGAGTGGAGTAGGAGAAATTTGTGCCCCTCAGGGAGAAGCTGTTTCAAGCCCTGACCCATTACAGCTGATGGCGTACAGCCACACTTTCCAAATTCAGCTCAGTGGGGTACCTGCCTGAAACATTGACTGCTGGGAGAAATGAGGTGGGAAACAAAGATCTTTGAACCCAGAGTTATGGGATAGCTTCTGTCTCCTGGTCTCTGCCATAAACTGGCTCAGGTCTAGGGCTCTCCAACACATTGACTTACTAGTTGAAGCATTCTACCCTGCACAGTATGCAAGGCTGAGCAACAGTTTGAAACCTTGACAAACAGTCACTCTGACAGAGCAAGGAACTGTATAGCAGCACTTGAAGGCCTTTGGCAAAAAAGGGGACAGTAGGAAGTGGTTAAAAAAAATATTTGTGGTGGTTTGGCCCTGACTGGAGGCTAGGAGCCAAACCAAAGCTGCTCTATCACTTCCCTTTCTTAGATGAACAGGGCAGAGGGAAAATATAGCAAGATGCCCGTAGGTTACGATAAAAGCAAAAACTGTGTGTGGAAGCAGTGGCAGTTGCTCTGCAGGGCAAACGCAATCCATGAATGCCCTCCCACTTCACTCTTCCTTCTCGCTTTTTTATCTGAGCTGATGTCATATGGTACAGAATACCCCTTCGGTCAGTTTGGGTCAGCTGGCCTGGCTGTGTGCCCTCCCATGATCTTGCCTGCCCCCAGCCTTACTGTTGAGGGAATGTTGGAAAACCACAGCCTGGGTGCTGTGTGAGCACTGCTCAGCAGTAGCCAAAACACTGGGGTGTAATCAACTCCCTTCTAGCTACAGCACTGTGAGAGCTGCTGTAGG